GTAACTAAGTCATAGTGAGCTATTAAAAAACTAAAGTTGGTACTGATATCTCAAATTCTAGAAGAGTTCGAAATCACTTTGAAAAACTGCCATGAGAAAGTGAAATTCCTATTTGAATATTTTCATAAATAAAGAAGTTACGGAGGAGACATGAAAATGATCAAAATCTGTTTTTTTTGCGTATAAAACAAAAACGAATAGATTTCATCAAAATATTTTTTCACATTGACAAACTCCACATTTGGTGTCATTTAACCGACCTCGTATCTCTCACCGTTACAAAGATAGCCATGGTGAGCACGGTAAGTGGGACACACTGTATGATCGTATAACATAACAAGACTTTAGACTTTCTTTTATATACAGCGTGTCGCATTCCAAACGGCCCCCCTCTACAGGGTGTATCTAAATAACACCGAAAAAATTCAAGGAGTGATTCCTTCTGATATTCTAGAAAATACAGTTCATATGAACATGTGTCCTAACTTGAACCTTTTTTGAGAAACAGGATGTTGAAGTCGGAAGTATTAATTGTTTTATTTATAACCCCCTTGTATGATGTTTCATGGTGCCAGAATTCAGGTTGGAGACTGTGAAAGCCCCAAAATTTCGAAATAATTGTAATTGGGAATATTGGGTAATCTCAATGGAAATTTTGATAACACCTACATTAAAGGAGTCAAATCGAATTTTTATCGTTTCCTCAAAAACTAAGCTAGATACAAAAATCACACAAGGAATAAAAAAGTTGTTATTTGAATAGTTCAATCTAATAAAAATATGAAACTCATGAAAACCGGTGGCGTACAATGACATTTAACATAAATTTCGATAAAATTACTCACTGTGACGCCACTGGAAATATTATTTCGAATCTAATTGCACCGGAAGAAGCTCCATATTGCTATGAACAAAACCACAACGTTTCATTGAAATTGATGGAAAGACAATTGAGTAATGAATAAAAAAGCGATCTCTCATGGAAATATTAATACCCTGTATTTCGAAAACGAAGCAAGTTAGGACATATGTTCATATGAACTGTATTTCCGAGAACATCACCCTTTGGATTTTTTCGGTGTAATTTAGATACACCCTGTATATATCGGCTATTAGTCGTACGATTCTTACCCAATTTGGACCGTTATGAATAATCATCGAATGATCAATTTTTCAGAGAACAACATTCTTTTGGACAGTGCAGTGCGCTTTTGTTGAAATAAAAGAGGTCGATTTTTATGACCTATCTCAGAGGACGCCGATTCCAGTGGTGTACGTAGAGATTTTTTCTAAACTAATTCTAAAAATCTCTAATATGAATTAGATCTGGTAGGTCTTGGTGAAAATCGCTCCATGAATAAAAAATTCATGAGGGTTGCCAGCTTCCAAATGGGTCACTCTGTATATACTAGGTGGCCACGTACAATGGAATTTCAATACTTTTTTTTGCCGCATCAGTTGTGAAAGAATCAATCAAAACCGATTAAAAAACTGAGGTTCTGTATATTTTTTAACATTTTCTCATCATTACAACAATCATCGTAATCACTAATAGGTATTATTTGGAAATAATACATTCATTTTGATTTTTATTCAAATTTCCAATAATTTTAAGCGCCATTTTCGGAAAAATAATGGCACCTTCTCCATGTATTTTCAACATTTATCACACTTTGGGGTAGAGAATGATTTGGGTGAAAAATTTATATTTACAAAAATATTCTTGGTGTAAATGGTATCCACTGAATAACATTCCTTTCCATTATAATTAGAAAAAAATCTATGATGATCTGAATCGAAAAAAAAAACGAATAATTTATTTCTCCTGGAACACATACTTTGTCCAGAACTGTACATATATTTAGATTAATCTCCACTGCATGATCAATCATTTGCAGTCTGTATACAACGATCATTGAAAGTTGCAAGAAATATTGTAGGTTATACACTTTATCACATGGTTTTGAGTAAAAATAACATCGTGATGAAACTGAAATATACAGGGTGTCCCTAGACCAGTGGAACAGTTGAATATCTCCTGAACCAATAGGAATTTTCGAAATATTATAATTCCACATCATATCGCATTATGAGTGCTAACTTCAGGAATGACTATATTTTCTACGAGGGGCACAAGAAAGGCTCACAAAATCGAACATCAATTTTTTCAAATGGAACACCCTGTATTTTATTGCATTTTCATAATCTCCTTGAAGAGCTGAATTCAACGACCTAGCACACTTGGGCTCTAGCGGGAATGATTTCCGAGATATAGGGTGTGGAAAATCGAGATTTTTCATTTTTGGGAATTTTTTGTGTCAAAACTATTCATTATTGGTTAAAACGGCTTACATGTCCTATCTTAACTTTTGATTTACTATTCACTCGTATTTAATTTAAACAAATACAGGGTGGTGTGGAATTCCGACTGAACCTGAGAATTCTACACCACCCTGTATTTGTTTAATTTAAATACGAGTGGATAGTAAATCAAAAGTTAAGATATGGACATGTAAGCCGTTTTGACCAATAATGAATAGTTTTGACACAAAAAATTCACAAAAATGAAAAATCTCGATTTTCCACACCCTATATCTCGGAAATCATTCCCGCTAGAGCCCAAGTGTGCTAGGTCGTTGAATTCAGCTCTCCAAGGAGATTATGAAAATGCAATAAAATACAGGGTGTTCCATTTGAAAAAATTGATGTTCGATTTTGTGAGCCTTTCTTGTGCCCCTCGTAGAAAATATAGTCATTCCTGAAGATAGCACTCATGATGCGATATGATGTGGAATTATAATATTTTGAAAGTTCCTATTGGTGCAGAAGATATTTGACTGTCCCACTGGTCTAGGGACACCCTGTATACACAAAAATAATTCATTCAACTGAATTTTTCCATGTGATGCATTTTTTATCTAATCTCAATAGGTAATTGAAAAGTGAAAATGTAAATTTTGTTCGAATAATTACAACAGCACTACACAAAATGGAAAAGATGAAAAGACTTTCTAGTAGCCAGACGATCGGTAGAGAATATTTGTTAAAAAAAACCATTGGTCGTAAGACACCTCGTTTTCGAGATATAATTGAGATTGAAAATAAAAAAATCTCAAGAGCATCCTGTATGAGCTGTCATTATAAACGTCCTATAATTCAATAACGGAGCGTCTTACGACCGCTATTTCAAGAAATGAATTTTCTTCTTGAAAAACAAAAATTTCTTCTACATCGAATCGTCGCTAAATAAAATGGACACCGTGTATAAAGGATTTCCTACCATAAAATCGCTATAATTTTTAAAGGTATCGGTTTCCCCATTAGGTTTTTCTGCACAGGGTGGCTGAAATTCGAGCTTCATCATCGAGATCTCGTAAACCGCAAAATATATACATTATACAGGGTCAGTTATACAGGATCTTTTATACAGGGAAATATTCACTTTATATAAACATACACCCGGAAATGCAAAGTTCACATAGCTTGGAAATCCTGCACACAATTTAGTTTCGATTCAGAAGTGTCATTTGCAGTACTCAATGGCAAATTCAGTCATAATTAGATACACGAAGAACCGACTTGAATGAGGAATTTGACTCTCTGTTTCTTGAAAACTTTGTTTTCACGGACGTATGTTTGCATAAGTTTTTCCTTTTAAAATCACGCTTCGGAGTTTGGCCATATATTTGTGTGCAATGTTTTGCCGAATGAAAAGCTTCTTTGAACTTTGGAAACATCCGAAGACTCGAAAAAAAAAAACAAAATTCCTGAAGTTTTGATGAACTTGACGTTAATTGAATAAATATTTCCACAATCAATGGCCACTTTTCTTTATCTGAAGAAAGTCCTTATTCAATTTGAAAAATCCCACATTTCGTCTTCCAGAAACAATTATGAATTAATTTTTTTCATTTGTTTTGAAAAAACTCATTTGATAATAATTCCTGGAACGAGAAACGTCCGATTTCGATTTTGAGAACGCCATCTTTTAGTGCAGGCAAAGTAGACATGATAATATGCGATTTATTCCCAAGAATTTCCGCTAGTAACATCAGCAAAAAAAATTGATTGGCAGCAAATCTTTGCCATAATTCAATTCAACTTGGATTTCAGTAGTGTACCTATAACACTGTCAGACCAATCGACTCCTATCTCACCCATGCAATATTCTCAACTGGAATTCCTGCCTAACTCAATGTAGTTTGACGATTCTGTGATGTTTTTGTGCCGTTTTTGTAAACATTTTCGACGCTTTGACAAACTCGTGACGTTTCTGTGACGTGTCTGTGACGTTTCCGTGATATTTTTATCTCACTACTTCCGTCTGTATAAGTGGAGGGGCTAAGTGGCGGGGCTAAATAGTAGGATGGCTGGGATAACTGGCAAGGCTAAATAGAAACGTCACAAAAACGTCATAGAAATGTCACGGGATAGTGTAAGCATCAGAAACGTGACAAAAACAACACAGAAACTACATTGGGTTAGGCAGGTAATCTATATTTGTTGAATACTGTCTGAAGGTTGATTGAAGAGATTATTTGTGCTTTTCTCTCTTCGTTTCTATAAAATAAGAATATGAATATTCAATATATACGAGTAGTGAGGACAAACCAAATCGTCTGCCCCAAAATGTCCCTGCGTTCAAAAATCTTCCTATTGGCGAGCCTGAAAAAAAATTCATTCGTTTATCAATAACAATTTGTATTGAAAAAGGTTTGGAGACAAGATATATAGGTATATAGAAAAATTCACTTATGTTTGGAGGTTTCAGGAACGAATCTGCTCCCGTTTCAACATAAAAATGGAAAATATTTGTCTCGCAAATTTGTCAGGTATTCTTCTTGACACTTCTCAGTGACAATTTTGTCACTGAAAAGCAGCTGAATTTCTCTCTTGGGCTTTGTAATAAAAACATATTTGTGCGCAGTGACATTCTGGGGCTAACCAAGAGAGGAAATCCTCAAAAATCTGGAATAATGCAGGTATTCCAGTTGAGAATAATGCATGGGGGAGATAGGGGTCGATTGGTCTGACTGGTGTATAGGTGCACAACTCATCACTTACGGCTTACGCGATCCACCACCCTGTACATACATGAACCACTTCACAACATTGATATCAAAATCCAAAATGACACACGTAATCGTATATTTACACTAAATTCTCATCAGGATCAGGATTTTCAATCGTAAATCGCACCTTTCAGATGTCCACTTGCAGAACGCTCGTCCTGGTATTCTTCCTCGTCAACTTGGAATTATTGGCCTCCCTGTAGGTGTTCAGCCGGTGGATTTCGTAGTCGTTCCTCGATTGCGTTCTGGACGCGAATCCGGAGTCTTTGTTGTAAAAAGTGCCGCCATATTGGTAGTAATTTCTGTCGGCGGAGTCTCTTTGACAGCACGAGTCGAATGCTCTGCGAAACTCCTTCCGAAATTTACCTGGAAGTTTCATTCGTCTGTGGATATTCATGGTTTCAACAATGATGAAAGTGAGATATGGTGTAATTACTGTCGCGCTTTTGTTTCAAAAATTTTACTCGACCTCTAAATCTTCTAATAGATGGCGACATTGCACAATCATGACATCTGTCAGTTTTGAAATTGTCGCATATTTTTCGAATTCAAAGTTGAATAATTCCACTGTTTCATATGTTCCGCGTACCTAAAATGCCATTTGCCATTTTATTTCCACTCGTCACAGCAGAAACAAAGCAGAAATAGCACCATCACCATCTAGCGGTAAAATGTAGAATCAACTTCTCGTAGGCGGTCGAGTGATTTTTTTGAAATTTTCCATACGTAATAATGGCCGAATACGCGCACCATATCTTACTTCCATCATTGTTTCAACCATCTGTCTACTATTTCTATATAGGGCGCATCGCCTATACGATATCTCAACAAAAATGGAACCAAAATGAGAGTACTTTTTGAATCTATAATGATTATACAGTGTGGTCATTTGAGTGTGCAACATATGGGAATCTGTTTAATGAAAAACAGATAGTGCCGAAAGTTGGTGCATGCTCGGTAATCATTTTAGGTGCACTTAGAATGGTTGCAAGTCACACAGCATACAGAGTATGTCAAAAAATATAAAAATTGCTCAAGAGTAAAGTACCCTTATTTCAGAAAATTCAGCAAAATGTTGATGAGAAAAATTGTTCACAATTGAAAGTTATGCCTAAATACCAAAACATGGCCTCCTGAGACATTTTTTAGTTTTTCAATTTTGTTCGTGAATAATTTCCCAATTTGTTATTGTTTTTATGTTCACCCTGAATACTTTTATAAGTTAATCATAACAAAATCAGTTGAGCATACCTTTGTTCAAATTCAAGCATATTTGTGCAATTGACTTGGATTCGACGACGACGACGACGACGACGACGACGATATTCAGCTCAACTTTAAAATTTCGCAAACCATATTTTCAACAAAGTGAAACATCAATAATGATAATATGCATATTCAGAAACTTCCATACAATGTGAACATTTTGTATTTAAAATATTACAAATTGGGGAATTATGTCTTAGAGGAGGCAATGTTTTTGGTATTAAGGCATAACTTTCAATTGTTAACAACTTTTTTCAATAACATTTTGCTGAATTTTGCGAAATAAGGGTACTTCATTCTTAAGCAATTTTTATATTTTTTGACCTACTCTGTATGCTGTGTGACTTGCAACCATTTTGAGTGCACCTAAAGTGATCACCGAACATGCACCAACTTTCGGCACTATCGGTATTTTGGTTGTGCAATTCATTAAAAAGATTCCCATATGTTGCACTCAACAGAGATGAAATATCAAACTTTTTTTCCCGTCACAGAAAAAAAATCTTCCAATAACACATAGACAGAAGCCCAAAATGGTTATAGCCACTGGACTCTTTGATGCGGCATTATTTACTAATATTTCCGGTTCAAAAGTTTCTCATGGTAAGAAGTGGCTTAGGTCTCTTATTGTTCAAAAACTTTCAATTAATTAGATCATTTGGTTGACTTTCGAACTAGGTTGGTAGCTATTTTTTTGTTCTCAATTAGGTATATACATACCTCTATATGAATTTGATACAACGCTTTATCCAATTACTATTGTTTGCCCTCATAATTTCCCATTTTAACATAGAAGACAGTCTTGTACTGAAAATTATGGTATTATAATGTCTCTTTGGGAATACAATAACTTGGAAATAATGCCCGTGGCAAATATACCTTACGTCAATATTGTATCAGCCTGGATGAGTTAGTTCATGAAGATACAGGTTGATCCAGGAAATCAGCAGGAACATCGTTTTAGATCATTCATATTTCAAAAATCATGTAATAGAAACTTGGATTGTTCGAAATTATCTCATTATGGAATTCAGATCAAATCAGATTTGAAGAATATCTAGGTTCGTATAAATTTAATGCACTCAATTGTTATTGTTGTAATTTTATAAGTGGTTTTAGGCGTAAAATATTGTAAAGAATTAACGATGCCGGGAGAGGAGGTAGGTATTGGGATTTCTTTCAACTTTTGGAGATTATGAGTTCTTGGGAATACTCTGTTAGGCAAAAAATCCCAAAGCTTTGCCGTTCTATGTATAAACGAGTTTTGGTAAAGAGTTGTTCGACATATTTCGAGGTTGACGACAAAAAGGTGTGTTGATTGGGCATATTAAGTACGTCTGAGTAATGGGAATAAAATAATGAGATTGCTAAATAAAGAATGATCAAATTATAAAGATGCTAGTGAAGAATCCAGTTTTTTGCCAATTTATTTGGACATTCCAGGTGGTTTGATTTCAGTTTCCTACAACTTTCAAAAAGTAAGGAAGTTTTAAACTTTGAAATGCGTTTTTCTCGAAACCATACTTACTTTTTGTGACATTCCCCCCTTTCCTCCTGTGGTCTTCATTTGTTAAACAGGAGAAAAAACGAACTCAAAGGCTGGACTGATCATTATTATAACGAACCGATTATTACTGATAAATTTTTTCTATTATTAAGATGTTTTTCCACATAACAGGTATGTCATCTCTTTCTCAGCTACCATTTTGTTCAACACCTGTACTACTTGATACTTTCTAGGTACTTTTTAATTGTGTCTGAAGATGGCCGTAGAGCCGAAACTATAGTCACACTGATTATATTTTTGATATTAAATATTGTGGTCGACCGACTTTGAGTTCGTTTTTTCTCCTGTTGAAAAATCACCGGACCACTTTGAGAATGTATGGTTTCCATGACTTTTCATTTGTTCAGACTCTCGAAGAACACCAAATTGAATGAAACTTACCGCTCATGAAGTTGTAGATGAGTGGATTGACTGCGCTGTTGGCGTAGCACAGCCAGTGCGATATCAAAGAAAATGCCTGATTCACTTCGTTGTTAGTTAGCTTCATCGTCAGTCTGCAACAGAAAGACCGACATCGAAATGATTGGCCAAATTAGTGGGAATCAGGGTAGGTGAAACCGAAACTAAACTACGAACGGAATGCGTAATAGCGTAATACGTTCATTATTCTTCACTGTGAACACTGATGGAATACCTGAACTGGGTTGAATACAAGAGCATCATCAGTAATTGCTCGAATGGGGTATAGTATTTAATAACTGATGATGAATATAGTGTTTGATGGAAATATTGATGTTCATGAAATATTGTTAATACCACAGTATGAAACTCAGAAATATAATACATACAGTGAGAACGTGAAGGTTGGGACAAATTCATTGAAAGTTTGATGTGGCTATATCTTTTTCAGATGCGCATTTGTTGTTCTACTCATATTTTCGATGACTTCATCATTGAAAATTACATTGTTATCATTAATAATGGAATTTCTTGAATTCCGTCGAAAATACGGTTACCTGTACGGGGTGAATCTGCAAGTGAGGTTATTTATTTAACAGGGTATATAACTCGCCAAAATAAGTTGTTTGGCCAAAAATTGTGTATGTAAAAAATGTGAGATAACAGTTCACTTTGAAACGAAAATCAATAGGTTGAAAGGAGGTTTTCGATTAATTTTTTTGATGAAATATTGCAATTGAAGAGTATCTAATGCTGAACTAATATCGGATCTCGTTTTTCAGAGAATGTGAACAACATGTTTTATAGTTGGAGGCTTCTTTAAACCTTTGAATACCTGATTCTCGGTATTTTGATATGTTATTCGAGCAATTTTTTGCCAAACAACTCATTTTGATGAGATATAAATCCTGTTTGAAAATAAACCTCACTTTCAGATTCACCTTGTATAATATACAGGGTGTAAAATGGGTACATTTGGATATTCAAATAACGTGTTTCTGAGACCATTTTAAGGAAACAAGTCTATATAAACTTGTGTCCGAAAATGCTCCGTTTCGGAAATACCGGGTGTTGAAATTAAATTTTTTCGTTCGAATTTTAAAAATAACTTTTAAAAAAAGTAAGTTAATTGCACGAAATTCGGTACCACATCAAATATGTATGCTATATTTGACCTTCACTATTGGTCAACCAAAAAATGTACATACCAAGTGACCAGTTATATTCTGACCTATTTCAAATGCTCATATCTCTGAAACCATTCAAGTTATCGTTGTGCGGTTTGGACTAGTCTATTTTGACGTTTTTCAAGTTTCTTTGACGTGTTTATCTTCCCACTTGAACTTCTGTTTCTACCGGAAACAAATAAGCAATAATCCAGGTATGGGGCAACTTTTTTATTTCATTGAATCACCCTGTATATTTTTGCACATTCAGAAAGACTGGTCTTTTCTCTATCTAACAATGCATTACAAGTTATGTTCTCCTAGAAAACTAATAGAGTTATAACTCTTTGAAACAACTACTGCTTGTGGAATAGGTTAATGAGATTATGCAATGTTATCAAAGTTGCCCTATACCTAAATAATGGCTTGTTTGTTTCCGGTAGAACCGGAAGTTCAGGTGAGAAGGTGAACCAGTCATAAACTTGAAGAATATCAAAATAGAGAAGTCCAAACCGCACAACGATAATTTAAATAGTTTCGGAGATATGAGCAGTTGAAATGGGTCAGAATATAACTGGTCACCCGGTACTACTATAGTATATCCTCCCGAAAATACTTTCTTGGAATCTACTCTGCCAAATATCATTTCAACACACACATATTTTCGCAATACTGGTGTAACTATGAGAATTCTTGACTTATTCGGTTCTACATTGTCAATTTCATTGAAACAAGAACTATCGTTTCCAAACTAGGTGAGATTTGATGATACCAATATATCCATTATTGATGGAAGTATGGTTTCTATAAGAGCTTTTATTTCTTTCTGGCCATCTTCCATTGAATTTTTCATTGAGATGTTATTGGTGAATTACAACTGAGGCATAGAAAGTACCACTTTGGTCCCTCAAATGAGGGATTAAAAGTACTCTTTCAATCCCTG